GCGCGCGGCGCGGCCTCGCGCCCTTCCCTGAGGGGACTCTCGGCCATGTCCGTGCCTGGGAGGCCTGTGGCCCTTCGGAAGGGGAAGGTCTTCCCTCGGCTCGGGAGTGTGCGCTCTGGCGCTGCTGACAGCGTGAGGGAACCGGTCGGAGTTTTGTTTTACCGGTTTTGAAATGGGAGAGTTTGAGGGTCTGACTTTTTGAGGCAGAGACCTGCTGCCAGCGCAGGCGTCTGGCGCTGAGAAGGCCAGACGTGGCCGGAGAGCAGGGAGCAGCTCTCCTGTGAGAGGGAGGGTAGTCTGGAGGCGGGTAAACCGGGCAAAAATAGCACAACGCTGGGTACAGGGGTCTCGCTTTGAGGAGAAGCAGCTTTAGCTAACTGCAGCTGACACAGCCTCGGACTCTTCTCTGTGACACATACTTTCCCCACAGTCTCCTGTCAGTTCCCAGATAAGCAGGTGCCCAGCTTAAGGGGTCAGGCATCTTATGTGTCTTTTAGCAAGGCAGAGGAGGTACTGCTTGGGAAGAGTCTCCCCAGGAGAGATGTTTCCTTGAATGCTCTCCATCACTGTTAATGGACAGAAGAGCGTGGCCATGACCTAAGGGGAATTCCCATCTTTCTGGAATTACAGCTTGCTCAAAGTGGACTGAAAGTGCCTTAGAAAGTAATTTTACTAACATTTTTAATCACTGATCCAATCATTCAAATGTGGCTGCCTGTATTTCTGAAGTATTTTTTCGTGTGACTGCAAGCTTGCCGTGCCTTCCCAGCAAGCAAGCTGGAAGTCAGGTGGCTGCAGTAGCACAGCATTGAGACCAAACTATAAGCATTGCTGTTCAGTAGAGTGTTGTCTCATGTGTTGTATTGCACTAGTCAAAACAGGCTTTACACATCTGCTTGCAGAGCAGATGACAGTACAGTATCTCTCCGGACATCTGTGGGTCCAGAATCTCTGAAAAACAAGCCATTTAGTTAGACTTAACTTGAAGATATTGCATTGAGTGGCTTTTTCCTGTATCATTAACCAATAGGTTATTTCTCCTAATTTAGGTGCAAAACCAATCTGCATGGCAAAATGGATACAGGTAAGACAGTGACTTTGGCTTCCTGATGATATGTAGTTATCCACAGCTGTGTATGATTTAACGTAGAGAATCAGGCAGGAGCCTTTTACTCACCTCAGCCTATGGTCTGTGCTTGTTGGATGTCTTCCTACAATGTCAAACAGTTAAATTACCTCAGGTTGAATATGGTTTTAAATCCTGGTCTCTCATTTCTTTGGGGATTATTTTGACTATTAGGCTATTATATAAAACATAGACATCCCTGCTGCTATTCCTGAATGAGGGTGGTTGTATATTTTTTGCTGGAAACACCAGTTTCCTTATCTGAGTCTAGATAATGCTGGGAGCAAGAAGTATTTAGCACGGTAGTATCTCATAACCATTTTTAGCTGTGCTTTCAGCAAAATGCTCAAGAAAAAAATTGGCACAAAACCTGCTTTTCAGCCTTTTCTAGATCCCTTGAGCTCAGAGCAGTTTGTGCGATTCATTCCAAGTTCCTCCTATGTGAGACTTGGCTTCTTGAGTAACAGGAGTGGGAATACTTTCTTACTTCAGGATTCACTTATTTGCCTTTGAAGAATGTGAATTGTTAGGTGAATTTTTTATGTAGTGATTGTTAAAAGTTCACTATCCACCTTTGGTGTCCTCAACCTACTTTTTAGGGATTGCAGATTTTCTCATGTTCAGCAGAACTTTTGTGTGCTTAACTTCAAGCAAGTAAGAAATTCCCAATGTGCCTAGCAAAGCAGTTAAGCACGCTTAAGCATGTGCTTTAAAAAACAACCCAGTGCTTTATTATGAAAAGCTAAGGCCAACACTTCCTCTTTCAAGGCCATGAGGAAATTCCCTTGGACTTCTATGGAAGTAGGATGTACCCTGTCATCACTGCCAACGCTCGCGCCCTCTCCCGCTTGCTCTGGCTGAGGTGTTCCCAGGAAGAGCCATCTGCTGCATGTAACGAAATATTCTCTCTTAAAAGTCAAACTGTTCTGGGATCAGACTTGCTATGCTAAGGTCACACTAGCAAAACAACACTGAAGCTTTCAGCTAGCTTCTCGGCTCTGAAACAACATGTGTAAATTAAATGTCTTTTGTCTTGTAACACAGAGTCAAACCACAGGCCTGGCCCACTTCTAGAAGTTAAGGAAAGAGCACTCAAGGGTAAGTGCACGTTTATGATTTGAAGAGTCAAATTGTTTATACTTTTTAAACTACTTCTGTACTTTTTTCTCCTGTGTGCAAATAGAATGTGTATCATAAAAGATAAACAAAGAAGAGCAAGTTATTTTATTCTTAAGGCACTACATGGAGTGATTTATACTGTTATTGAACAGGAAATATGATTTGTTATTTGCTTCTGCTGAAGTATAGTCATTTTTGCTCATCTTGATTTTTTTTTTTAAACATGTTGCATTTAGAATTCTGCTAAATGTTTCTGAAATTACACTCTGGTACTCTTTCCACCGACTTTCAGCAAGACAAACAAAATTACAAAAATCATACGAAAGCAAGCTTTCTTCTCTAAAGAATGTGTAAGTGATACTAGGTATCCTGAAATACGCATTTTATTCTTTCTAAATATATATTGCATGGCCTAATACTCATTAGGTAAAAATTTCCTCCATTCCTGACAAAAAATCTGGTCACTTGGTAGCATGTAGATGATTATCAGGCTGCATGAATTGCTCACGCCAACAGTGTCAGATGCTTGACAAATGTTAAAAATAGATTAAGACAGATCAGTGTTAAAAGTTGCGCTGTGATTGTTTATTATTAATTACTCTATATTCATGTCTTTGTTAGAGATATACAGAACCAGTCATTTATTCTTCTTACATTTAGCCAATGAATTATATGGTGTTTTCTTTATACCATGGTGCTGTTTACAGTGAGTAGTACACTAATAATAAAAGTTGTCAAAAAGCCTCAGATGTCAGAAGTTGAAGAAACACAATATATCACAGTATATTTGGCAAGGACATGTTTTCCACCCATCTGCTTTTTGAACAGCCAAAACTTCACTGATGTTGTTCTTGTCCAAACCTTGTTAATACAATAGATATATGATAATTGGTTTAGATAACACAATATTTTGCTAGTTTGATTTCTGACATTACACGCTCTTTGACAGGAATACTGCTCTAAATGTTTGATTTGATTGCAGTGTCTTGAAGGATTTATAGAAGAATAATATGGTTATAGTTATTGTTTGTGTTCCACCATTAGGGATTCCAGACAGAGCTGAGTCAGGCAGAATTACTGAGAGATACAGAAAAAAATAGCAAATGCAGTCTTTATAAATCCTTGCGTGCATGGGTTCTCACTACTCTTACCCCATCAAACGTTAGACTCTATAGTAATCAAACTGCTGTATAAATACTTAGTGTAGCCCTATCATGAATAGAGTTCACAAAGTTATAATTGAATTCTAGAATTCCAGTTTCTGTTGTCTTGGAGGTTTTAACTTTTACAAGGTAACAGCATTTAAGAATGTAGGCATGGTCACAACACTTTTAGAAAATGTTTTTATGTCTGTCTGGCACAATTGTTTTGGAAAGCTTGTATAGGCTAGGAGTGGAGGAAAGCAGATTAGAAATTTCATGTGGAATTTGATTCCGTCAGTATTTATGGATGCATGGGAGAAGAAATATTCACAGAAGCATGCCAATATTGATGAAACTTTTAAAGGAAAATTTTTAGTAAGAGCTTTGATTTCTGTTAAAGGAAAAGAGAACATGAAAATAAGCATTTAAATATGGCAAAACATGGACGGCAACCTTTTTGCAAAAAACAGTTGTATGTTTCCAATTGTAAATATAAATATATTGTTTGTATTTCCATACAGGGAATATAATAGCTCTTTTAAGAAGTCTACATTGCTACATAATGTCTGTGTTTATTGCATAACAGGAAAAGTCTATGTTTTGTTTTGTCTTGGAAGAAGAAAAATGCTAAACTTACGGAATTTGCTACAAAATAGAAAATCTGTGTTGAGAGATGCCCTGGGTGAGGAAGTGAAAAAATGTGTGTATTCCCAAACACAAAACGGTTGGGAGGCTGGGAACAGGGAGTGGATGGAATTACGGCTATTGATTTCTTAGAAGAATGTTGCAGCTGTACAAATCACATGCAAAATCTTTGCAAGAAAGTTAAGATGTATTTGAGAAATATTTCCAGGGATAATGGAAAGGGAATTAGCATTAACCTTGGAACATAACTGCATTTAAGTGGGACACTAAGATTTCACAGGCAACGGGATGACAGGATGTGTATTATACATACAGTGCCATAGTTGGTCATTCTGGAAAGGATCTGTAAGGTTATTTGAGTGATTAGGCCAGTGATGTCTTTGTATCTCTGCAAACCAAGAATCTGAGTCATAAAAACGCAAGCAACCCAAGAGTCAGGGTCATAAAAACACAAGCTTTGTTAGCAATAATATTTCATGTTAAGCTACATTGGCTACTGCAAGTTATTTGCTATGCAAATCTATTGCAGTGAGTGTTACTCTTTCACTTCTCATATACATATGGTAGGAATCACTGTGACTGTGGTATGTGGCTTTTCATGCCTAATTGTAAACAGTACAGTCATATTTATTGACAGAAATGCATATAAAGTCCTGTTTCCCTGAGCACCGTAGAAATCAATAATCACATATACAAGCCTTCTTGTGGCCAGCACTTCACTTTGTCTGGAGTAAAGCACCTTTGTGTTCCTCAGTACTGCCTCAGTACTTGATCATGCAGAGAGAGAACCGGGCCAGGCTGCGGCAGGACTCTGTTATA